TCTTGGATGCCCTGGGGGTAAGCAGATAAACATCAAATTTTCATTTTTGGGTGAACTATCCCTTTAAAGGTGAATTCCATTAAAACGGGTACAGTTTTGGAGCATTAAGATTTTTTGTGACATTATTTATCAGCTATATCTATGTATGTATGTATATATATGCACATGCAGAAGTAGGCTATAAGAATCTTCACGAACATATAATAAGGAACAGTAGCTTGCTAGTATTAGGGCTACTCCTAACAACTATAAAATTAGATCCTTGTTTTTGAAAGAGAATATTTCTACACCTTCTGTTATTTTCTACTGGAACAATATCTTTAATAATGTAAAATTGGACTCAAGTTTGGACATTACCTCAAAAATTCCTCCTTACGAATAAGGCTAAGGAAATCTCATATAAATTAATTCATAGAGTTTATCCTACAAAAGAATTTCTACACATTTTTTTAAAGTGCTCTTTTTGTGAATGTTCCACTGAAACATTTTCTCATTTATTTTGGTCCTGCCAATATACCCAGCATTTTTTGAATAATGTGGAGGTTTTCATTGTTGATAATATTTTTAAAACATTTTCCTTATCTTATAAACATGATTTTGGGTTATTATTATTATATCAGGGATCGCTCTTTAAAGGATGTTGGTTTTATTATACATTTTATTTTATTTGCATGTAAATTTCACATTCATAAATGCAAGTTTACAAAGGGCAAACCTCTTTTTATAGTGCTTGAAAAAGAGAATAAAATGTATATAGATGTGGTCAAAATCTAAAAATAGTAAAGCAATTAAAAAGGTTATGCTCCTCCTTTAACATTTTCACATAAAAACAAAAAACATTTGATGGTTCTTACCTGCAAAGTACATTTTCTGTAGTGTAAAATATATAACGTGTAAAATATGTATAATATATATTTGTCTGTAAACTGATGCTCTCCTTTTTTTCCCTCTTGTTCCTTGTTCGTTCTTGTCGATGCATGTGAAATGTTCTTTGTTATACAGTGGGAGATGGCATTGTACATGCTATTTGTTAAAAAATATGAACAAATTCTGCACCAATTAAGTAAAACAACGAGAATATGTTTACAGTTGGGTGCATAGATTCAGTCAATAGAGAAAATTACAAAAAGCAAAGGCAAAAAAATCCACACACCAAACAATCAGTTCATAGACCAAACTATCTTCAGTGCTAAAGATTACAACAACGGACAAACACTTAAGGAGATCAAGGCACAAAACAGAGACATCAGATGATTAACTGAATCAGCTGAACAATTAATTGAAAATGCAATAGCAATAAGTAATCTTTTTTGTTTGTGCACGTGCGCTGTAGTTTTGAAATATTCTTCAGGAATCATTTTTTGCTCAAAGGACCTTGAACTTTTGGTGCGCGGATTTTTGCACATGCTGTATGTTAACAATAAAGCATTAAAGGGGTCATATGATGCGATTTCAAGTTTTCCTTTCTCTTTGGAGTGTTACAAGCTGATCGTGAATAGATAAGATCCCTGAAGTTGCAAAGACTAAAGTCTCAAAACCAAAGAGATATTCTTTATCAAAGTTAAGACTCTGCCACACCCCCCTAAAACGGCTCGTTCTAACATGCCCCCACATACATATTCTGTTA